TTCATAAACAAAGTTTGACTTGGAGTTCAGAAAAGACTTTTGAACATATCTAACAATCCAGCATTCTGCTGAGATATTTACCCAATATCTCAATATTAGACCATCTAAAGATCTGTTAGCTTTTGTAGTCATGGTCCCATTTTCTCATAGAATCTCATGTCATTTTTCTTCTCATTGCTCCATCCATTTTTGGTGCACTCTTTAAATTTGCTGGACCATCTCTGACTCCTGCTTCCTTTCACATCTATCCGCTCCATTTCTGCCTTCATCAGGTTTGCTGAGTACCTCCTTTTCCCCCTCCTACCACTACTGGTGCTCTGCACTGATTTTTTTTTTTCCTGCTATTTATTCTTTTTCTCTATTCTTTGTTCGGCTGCTTAACTCGAGAGCGCTCCGCCCTGTACCTCCACCTCTCTTCCCCTAACTCTTCGCTCCTCTTCCCTCTCATGTTCCTCTTCAGTGAGCCCCAGCACTCCTCTTCCTCTTTCCTCCGGTCTGTCACCCCTCTATAGACTCCCACTGACGGACCTGAACCTTCTGCTCAAGCCACATTCTGCCCCTCATTCTTCTCTCTTGTTTCTTCATGAGAAGAAGAGGCCAATTAAAGTCTGTCTCCTCTCCTCCTCCATGCCGTTGTTCTGTGCTCTGAGTGTCTGCACTCAGGCTCTCTAGGGTCACTAATTAAAACACTTTCTTTTCTCTTTACTCCACTTTATTCACCTATTCATCCAACTTTTTTCTTTTGCCTTAGTTTTGTACTTTGTAGCTCTTTATCTGTCTCCTGTCGCAAATCACATACACTATATTGCCAAAAGTATTTGCTCACCCATCCAAATTATTGGAATCAGGTGTTCCAATCACTTCCATGGCCACAGGTGTATAAATTCAAGCACCTAGGCATGCAGACTGTTTTTACAAACATTTGTGAAAGAATGGGTCGCTCTCAGGAGCTCAGTGAATTCCAGCGTGGAACTGTGATAGGATGCCACCTGTGCAACAAATCCAGTCGTGAAATTTCCTCGCTCCTAAATATTCCACAGTCAACTGTCAGCTGTATTATAAGAAAATGGAAGTGTTTGGGAACGACAGCAACTCAGCCACGAAGAGGTAGGCCACGTAAACTGACGGAGCGGGGTCAGCGGATGCTGACGCGCATAGTGCGAAGAGGTCGCCAACTTTCTGCAGAGTCAATCACTACAGACCTCCAAACTTCATGTGGCCTTCAGATTAGCTCAAGAACAGTGCGCAGAGAGCTTCATGGAATGGGTTTCCATGGTCGAGCAGCTGCATCCAAGCCATACATCACCAAGTGCAATGCAAAGCGTCGGATGCGGTGGTGTAAAGCACGCCGCCACTGGACTCTAGAGCAGTGGAGACGCGTTCTCTGGAGTGACGAATCGCGCTTCTCCATCTGGCAATCTGATGGACGGGTCTGGGTTTGGCGGTTGCCAGGAGAACGGTACTTGTCTGACTGCATTGTGCCAAGTGTAAAGTTTGGTGGAGGGGGGATTATGGTGTGAGGTTGTTTTTCAGGAGCTGGGCTTGGCCCCTTAGTTCCAGTGAAAGGAACTCTGAATGCTTCAGCATACCAAGACATTTTGGACAATTCCATGCTCCCAACTTTGTGGGAACAGTTTGGAGCTGGCCCCTTCCTCTTCCAACATGACTGTGCACCAGTGCACAAAGCAAGGTCCATAAAGACATGGATGACAGAGTCTGGTGTGGATGAACTTGACTGGCCTGCACAGAGTCCTGACCTCAACCCGATAGAACACCTTTGGGATGAATTAGAGCGGAGACTGAGAGCCAGGCCTTCTCGTCCAACATCAGTGTGCGACCTCACAAATGCGCTTCTGGAAGAATGGTCAAAAATTCCCATAAACACACTCCTAAACCTTGTGGACAGCCTTCCCAGAAGAGTTGAAGCTGTTCTAGCTGCAAAGGGTGGACCGACGTCATATTGAACCCTATGGATTAGGAACGGGATGTCACTTAAGCTCATATGTGAGTCAAGGCAGGTGAGCAAATACTTTTGGCAATATAGTGTATTTCCTGCAAGGTTCCCATATAGTCTGAAAAAGTCTGAAAGCAGATTTTTTTGGAATGGGGATATTTATGGGAAAAGGTCTTTCCTGGAATTTGCAAATTTTCCTTCCTTCCTTCCTTCCTTCCTTCCTTCCTTCCTTCCTTCCTTCCTTCCTTCCTTCCTTCCTTCCTTCCTTCCTTCCTTCCTTCCTTCCTTCCTTCCTTCCTTCCTTCCTTCCTCTCTTATTTTTTTCACTCATCTGTTTTAGTGCCCATCCTCACTCACTTTTCCTTGTCTTTTTTTTCATCCTTCTTGTCTGTCAATTAGTCTTCCCTCAGTTCTATACATTTTTACTTACTTTTCCATTTTCCTCCTTGTATGGCTTTTCATCCATTCCTTGGTCCGGATTGTCCTAAATTCTTATTTCTTCTGTCCATCCATGTACCTTTTTGTTCCTTATTTTATGTCCATCTACCCATTGTTTCCTGTGGTCTTTGTTTTATGTGCCCCTTCATGGCCTTGTCTTGTCTTTCCTTCCTTTCTTCACTCCTTTCTTGTGTGCTTACCTTCTTTCCTGTTTGGCCTTTTCTTTTCTTCCATCTTTTATTACCCTCTGTTTCCATGCTCTTCGGTTTTGTTTTATTTGCATTCTATCTCTTGACCTTCTTTCCTTTCTTCGCCCCTTTACTCCTATGATCATTATTATTATTTTAGTTTTTTGCAGTCCCATCTATCCCTTGTGTCGCTATTCATAAATATTTTGAATACAGTTCAACGCAATGTACATAGAATGTAATGGGTATATATTGTCTTGCAAAAAAATCATCTTCATATTATAAAAAATCTTGATTAAATCTGCTGCATGCACACATGGGTTCATCATCATTATGTTTAGACAATGCACTGTTTGTGTTTCTACAATTTTGTAAAATGAGTCAAAGGAACAGACAACTCTGGAAATTAGTCTGGACCCCCCATCCTCTTTCCTTTATTGCTTTGTACATGGGTAGCTCTTTATACTCAAGCTGACAGGAAGTCAGAACCCTCAGTCTGAAGGAGCATACATTATGCAGCTTCTCTGTTCTAATGATGCTGTCTTGTCCAAAATTGTTGTTGTGCCAAAAGCTAGTCAGCCTTGACTGACTCTGCTGTTTATTCACGTGCACGTTTGTTTAAATTGGTGCTCGGCGGTGTGTGCCTAGGCTCCACTGTAGGAGGTGGAAAGCAGAGGGAGTGGAGTTTATTTCACACTTGTCTCCCCTCAGTGGTGTTAATTAGCATATGGAGAATTGTTTTTCCTCCCATCTCAAGCAGGGGGAAACAAAATCCCTAACTGGTCTGGGAATTGTATGTATATATATATATATATATATATATATATATATATATACACTATATTGCCAAAAGTATTTGCTCACCTGCCTTGACTCACATATGAGCTTAAGTGACATCCCGTTCCTAATCCATAGGGTTCAATATGACGTCGGTCCACCCTTTGCAGCTAGAACAGCTTCAACTCTTCTGGGAAGGCTGTCCACAAGGTTTAGGAGTGTGTTTATGGGAATTTTTGACCATTCTTCCAGAAGCGCATTTGTGAGGTCGCACACTGATGTTGGACGAGAAGGCCTGGCTCTCAGTCTCCGCTCTAATTCATCCCAAAGGTGTTCTATCGGGTTGAGGTCAGGACTCTGTGCAGGCCAGTCAAGTTCATCCACACCAGACTCTGTCATCCATGTCTTTATGGACCTTGCTTTGTGCACTGGTGCACAGTCATGTTGGAAGAGGAAGGGGCCAGCTCCAAACTGTTCCCACAAAGTTGGGAGCATGGAATTGTCCAAAATGTCTTGGTATGCTGAAGCATTCAGAGTTCCTTTCACTGGAACTAAGGGGCCAAGCCCAGCTCCTGAAAAACAACCCCACACCATAATCCCCCCTCCACCAAACTTTACACTTGGCACAATGCAGTCAGACAAGTACCGTTCTCCTGGCAACCGCCAAACCCAGACCCGTCCATCAGATTGCCAGATGGAGAAGCGCGATTCGTCACTCCAGAGAACGCGTCTCCACTGCTCTAGAGTCCAGTGGCGGCGTGCTTTACACCACCGCATCCGACGCTTTGCATTGCACTTGGTGATGTATGGCTTGGATGCAGCTGCTCGACCATGGAAACCCATTCCATGAAGCTCTCTGCGCACTGTTCTTGAGCTAATCTGAAGGCCACGTGAAGTTTGGAGGTCTGTAGTGATTGACTCTGCAGAAAGTTGGCGACCTCTTCGCACTATGCGCGTCAGCATCCGCTGACCCCGCTCCGTCAGTTTACGTGGCCTACCACTTCGTGGCTGAGTTGCTGTCGTTCCCAAACACTTCCATTTTCTTATAATACAGCTGACAGTTGACTGTGGAATATTTAGGAGCGAGGAAATTTCACGACTGGATTTGTTGCACAGGTGGCATCCTATCACAGTTCCACGCTGGAATTCACTGAGCTCCTGAGAGCGACCCATTCTTTCACAAATGTTTGTAAAAACAGTCTGCATGCCTAGGTGCTTGAATTTATACACCTGTGGCCATGGAAGTGATTGGAACACCTGATTCCAATAATTTGGATGGGTGAGCAAATACTTTTGGCAATATAGTGTATATATATATATATATATATATATATATATATATGCATGCATATGCAGATTTAATCAAGATTTTTTATAATATGAAGATGATTTTTTTGCAAGACAATATATACCCATTACATTCTATGTACATTGCGTTGAACTGTATGCCAAATGTGAGTGTGAACACTTGGTTGACTTTTGCTTTATCACCCTCTGTAATTAAGTTATTGATGAACTGTCAGTCTTCTTTATGTACCCATATTGCTCCAGGCATCGCTAATGTTAAATCACCCCCCTCTATGTCCAATCACCCTGTAATTGCTCTGTAAATATTAATGTACCTTTTTTATTCCTTCTTCCAGGTTAACAGCAGGAGATCTTTCTGTCCAGCTAAACCTCAATGATTACTTGGACATCTACTGCCCCTACTATCCAGACTCTGGGATTCCAGTTCCGGAGCAGCCAGAGACCCTGGTGCTCTATCTGGTTGAGGAGGAGGCCTTCAAAGGCTGTGTGGAGACCAAAAAGGCAGTGAAGAGGTGGGAATGTAACAATCCGTTTGCTGCATATGGACCCGTCCGCTTCTCTGAAAAGATCCAAAAATTCACCCCGTTCTCACTGGGCTTTGAATTTGTGGAAGGAAGACACTACTACTACAGCTGTAAGTAGAGGGGCAGGTCTGTGGGTAGGGGGCAGTCGACCTACATGTTTTACTTTTTTTCCCCCAAAACCTTGGTGTATTTTAATTGGGTTGAATGTGACAGACTAATATTAAGTGATTAATTATTAAAATTGAAGAAACATGATTTTAGAAATAGATATCCCGAAAAGACTCCCAGAGTCGACCCCAAAAGACTTGCATTCAGAGCTCCTAGGCTATTTGGACTTTGACTAGGCCAATCTAACAGATGATTCATGTATATACTTAAAACCTCAGTCTCAAATTTTGCAGCCTCTAGTAGCTTTTTGGTTGATTTCTCAGTTGCATTATCCTACTTATCTTAGACCTTAATTATTATATATTTATTCTAATATTTCATTTTCTTATAATGAAAATAACCTTGAATTACACTGTGCATGTATAGTTTTGAGGCAAAGCATTCCCACAGCATGATGCTGCTACCACCGTGCTTCTCTATGGCATGGTGTGTTTAGGCAGCTGTGCAATTCTCTCATTCCATACATTGGAAGGCTGGAGATGTTGTTTTGTTTAAAAGTAAACTAAACTCAGCTAAAGACATAAAGTCAACTTGTCTCCCTTTACATCAAACTTAAATAGATTTTTTTTCTTTAATTATTCTTTTCAGCTTTGAAAGTTTGAATAGCTTGTGCTGATTTCATTGGGTTTTTCCTTTACTATTTCTTATTGTCTATATTTTTATTTTATTTTCCTGTTTTTCCTTCTCAATTGAGGCTGAAAAAATATATTTCCATTATGCCTTCCATTGTGACCACGTTTTGACCTTTGCATTTTTGGCATGTTCTTTCCATTTTTATCAGTTATATTATTTTATGACCCAGCCATGTTTTAAACTTTCCCTCAACTTTCTCCCTGAACTGACCTTTCTGTTATGTTTCTGGCTTCAGAATGCAGTTTTTTGCTGTTTCATTTAGGGGTGTCAGAGTAAATGTGGCTTAAAACAAGCCATCAAAACAACATGCACACAAGGGTTTGTGAAAAGCTGTGTTTTTTTTTTGCTTTCCCTTTTATAATTATGTGCTACCTTGTTTTTGTTTTTTTTTTGTTTTTTTTTCTTACTAAAAATCCAAATGAAATGATTAAAACTGTTAAAAGGATGGGATTGCTCTTATAAAGCATTTCGCTGTCACCGTACAAAAATAACATTTTATTAGGTATTTTTCTAGCCTAGATTAGGCATGTTTTGATATAAACTTTGCTTGATATGTTTAAATGTTTGCTTTTTCGTTCTTTTATATTTGTCAAAAATAAACCAATAAATGTTATAGATAAAATCAAGCTCTGCTGTGCTAGTTAGGAGGTTTAATGCCCAGCTGTTCAAAACTGATGCAAATGTGCCAATAGTAGGGGATGGATTTCTATGCAGATAGCATATTGTCAGGCAATGCATGATTCCAGTCTGCATATTCTGGGATCAGCCCAGAGTGATGTGATTGGGCTTTTTATGAAGTCTACGGCTGCAACCTGCAGATTATGTCATGCTTTCTGTATGTTCCTACTAAGTGGCATTAGTATTATGTTTATAAGTAGGAATTGAGAAAAAAAATAGAGGGACATTCAATTTTCAATTAATCGTCAATATTGGATGATGGCAGTGACAAAAAATGAGAAAGGTGACATCACTTTAAGGGAGGTATGTTAAAAGGATAAGAGGAAAAGACAGCAATACAACAAAAGGATTGTAGAACAGGGAAGGATGAGACGAAGAAAGAGAATATACATAAATTACTGTTGAGGTTCAGGAGACAATGGTGTATTGTGTAGGAATGAGCGTGTGTTCCCTCACACACACACAGACATAAATGCACGCTGGGTCATTGTCAGTGCTCATGCCTGTTCATAGAAAAGCAACAATAGCCCCTCCCCAGGTCAGGCCACAGCAAGCTCACAGTGATTGTGTGTTTTTTTTCAACATCAAAGATAGGGTGTAAAGTTGGACCAAATGTTTGGTCCTGGGTTTATACTCATAATGGTTCTGTAGCACTGGAAGCTGCATAATGAGTTAAGCCTGGGAGGACAGTACAATGGTATTAGAGACACTAATGGCATTAGTTTGTTCAGTCTGAGCTGAGCTCAGCCTTCTCTACCAAAGGCTATGACACTTTTTGCATGCATCAGTCCCCAATGAATCAACAGAAATCCACAAGCTTTCCATGTCTGAGTCAACACAAGCAAAGAAAACTTTGAGATTCTTAGCTAGTTGCCTACTAGATACAAAAATAAACTTTAAAGGACATGTAACAAGAGCAAAGAGAGCTCAATTCACTGAATATTAAATGCAGTTTGCTCATTTAGCACATATAAACAAGAAATGTCATCTTTGCAAGACTAACATTTCCAAAATACACTGGTGTGTGGTAATCAATTAAAATTAACCTGGAATAGTTGTCTTCACTGTTACCTCTGTAGTCTCTAATGTTGCTCATAAACCCTGGCGCTTCAGTCAGGTTATTTTGCTAGCCAATCAAGTGCATTGATGCCATGATTGATAAGACAACGGTTAGATAATTCCAGCAGGTGCAAGATTGAACAAAAAAAATAGCACCTATATGAAGATTATCAGCAGAGGAAACAAGCTTTGTACAACAAAATGTAACCCATTAGAACATCGACAGTAAATTCCTTCAGACACTGGGACCTTGATTTATCTGGAAAATGCATGTTAAATGTTTATTTCCCCTTTTTATTGTGCAGCTCTGTTCCTTTCCATGCTTGTTCACTTTGCTGTAGATCTACTCTGCTGTCCCCAAAGGTAAAAAAAAAAACAAACTTTTGCTTCAAACAGGTTTTTAACTAGGCTTTCCTGTCTTGTTGCTGTCTTGGTTAGACAACTCAAAGTTGCAAAATCAGTGTGGCTCCAAACAAATCAATCGCTTGCCAATGATGGGCATTCCCATCAGTACAGTTTGGATCCTGTCGGAGCCTGTGAGCAAGCGAGTTATTGAATTACACAAACCCTGTTCTTGCTAAGAAAGGCTTGCTGGCATCGGGGTCGACTCACCTCACTTTACTCGACTCACCTCATCTTCTTTTTCTTTTTTTGAGTTTGTCTAGAGAATGAAAGCTCAATTCTCAATACATTGCAGTGCCAACCAAATCAATAACTTCTCCTTCCTCCATTGAAAAAAAGCTTTGTAGTACTCCAATTACTTTATCAACTTCTGTCTGAAAGCTCTGCATCGCCTTGCACATTTATTCAAAAGGCATCCATTTGCCTGCTAGCTGTGTCTGCATTTAAGTCAGCATAGAATAATGCCTTGCTGGCTTAGCACGGGGAAACGGTTATCATGTATTATATATTTTTTCCTTTGCACAGGTAAAATCTGGTTTAGGAGTGGCTTAATAGAAATAATCCAACAGGTGAAGCCTGTGAACTGGTTACACTTTATATGGGAAACCTGGAAGCTTTGATTCTAGCTTCAGCCCACGTCTTTTAAATTCCTGCGAAACTCTTGAATGGATTTTGCATGGATATATTTTCTCTCCTTTGCCTTTTTCTACAACCCCCCCACTAAGATACCCATAACATGCTTCCATACAGCAATACATAAACAAACAGTATCTCTTGGAAAAGGCCTCTTGCTCTGCCTTACTTTTTAAGGATAATGGCTGTCAATTCGGCAGTCTGACCACTAGGCTAAGGCCAGAACGTTCCTAATTTTTGTTTTTCATTTAATTTGGTTTATGTGATTATTCACATAAACGGCCTTCAGCTGAAAGCTTTAATTATAAAAAAAATTGTCTAATGAATCTGTGATCAATGTATTTCAATCTGAAAAACTTACATGAAGAGAAAAGACGATTAGAAGAAATTTATTGATACAATTACTTTGTCTTTGGCGCTCAGACCTCGGCAGGAAACATAGCACTCAATTTTGATAGATATGCATGAACAGGAGCAAAGAATAGTGCTGTTTCCCCTCAGCCCTGAGACTGGTTGTGGAGTGGAGATAGATGAAGTTGGTCAGTCTGTACACTGCTGGTTAGTGAGATGCTAAACTTTATAGGGAGATCCAGTGGATGCTTGAGCTGATACTAGAGCTTCACTCAGGGACCTGGAAGATGGAAGTCCAGTTGGATAACAGAGGTTGAGAGAACCTGTCCATGATGAGCAAGCATGAAGCGACAGTGGAGAGGAAGAACTCCCCATTGGGAAGAAACCTCTTGCAGAACGAGGCTCAATATGGCGGTCTTCTGCCCAGCACTTAAAATGAGATGGGGAACGCAGCAAGAGTACTGGAGGAATGAGACTCTGATGAAGCTTTAGCTATGATGGTGGAGGAGGGGCTGGAGTTGGGTTGAAATGGGGTCATCTGAATGAAGTCACACAGCGAAACCACAGTCTGCTCACTAGGTAACAGACTAGGTGTGGATTGTAGGCCTTTTAAGACTTTGAATGCCGATTGGCTTTTGTGGAGGTGTGCTTCAAAGCTTATTGGCTGTGTCGCAGGTGAATGTAGACATGCAATCAGTTTCTTCTGTTGAACTTCCGCCTAGGCTCCATTATACTTTTTTATTTGAGTTTATTTAATGAATTTACATTCCAGTGATGAGCTTATTGAGATGTAGCAGTAGGGGTGGGTATTGGCAAAGAAGTCACGATTCGATTCGAATCACGATTCACATGCCACGATGCGATTCTATCACGATGCATCACGATACTTGAAATATTGCGATGCATTGTGATATTTTCACTGAACACTGTAAGAAAAAGATACAGCCCTTACCAGTGGCTGACTGGCTGGGTGTGATCTGGATAGTGTCTTCAATTGATACATAACTGAAAGCAACTGAATTCATACATAGCTGTATTTATTGAAATTACTTTTGGAGGTGTTGCCATGAAAACAAATACTGGACAGAAATATTACTATTACTGGCATGGACACACCAACAAAAAGATCTTAGGATTCATCAAACTTAAAATAACAAAATGAGGATAATCAGTCCGGACATGCTTATGACATAAAGCAGCAGGCGTCAACACATCCGCAGCGACATCTGCTGGACTGGAAGTTGTATTCCACTTGGTTTGATTGATGTGCGCCAACCATTAATGTATTTTATTTGTTCATTTTTTTTTTTTTTTTATAATCGATTCTTGCCTTCAAGAATCGATTCAGTAGATCACAAAAATTAGAATCACGATTCATCGATTTTACGATTATTTTGCACACCCTTAAGCAGTATGTCCAACTCCTTACTAGAATTAAGCCATTTCATACTATAAATGCATTCAAATTCAGTTCAATACTCTGAGGTGTGGCATAATAAAATAACAATTAGAAAAAATGCATCCACTGTAAAGGGCCTTGGCCAATTAAATTGAATCTTTAGTTAATATGATCCCCATTCTTAGACAAGGATGTTGTTAATGTGGTAAAAAAACAAGATTTATGTAACCGAAAGGAATCCCCAGGAGAAACTGTTTTAAATAGTTAAACATTAAAACAGGCTATTGCGTAAGAATTCTATACTTTTAGTAAAGTATAAGAGCTTTACTAACACCATTGTTAGTTTGATTTAACCTTATGTCAAGACATAATTAAAAGTATTGCACCCCTTTACATTTAAGTTGTGTATTTCTTGGCTGGGGACTTAAGCTCAGAAATGTTAGCTATATTTTATTAAGATTTGTGAGGCTGTGAAAAACTGTGAGCTGCTCCTTTTCTAAGTCAAGAAATATCTAAGAAAAACCCCAGCCTATTCTGAGGTTTTGATTGTGTGAGATTATTTGAACAATAAAATAAAGTGGTTAATTCAGGAAAAAAAAAAAGTATAATTATTTTTTGAAGCTAAAGTGCCTTTATTGTAAGTGCTCAGGTTCAGTGTTACTGGTGTTTAATGTGACTGCAGGGGTCTCATTGTGGCTTTCTGGGCTACTTAAATATAAGTGACTGTAAAGGTGTAGAGGGGTTTTCAATTAACGATCTTTGATTTCAACATGCAGTGCCTTGCAAAGGATAGCACTGAGAATGTAAAGGGTAAAAGGTAAAGCTCTGCCACTGGTTCTGTTTCAATGAATTAATCACTGGATGTTCCTTTAGACAATGTGGAGAAATGCCGAGTATTTACAGGCATGCATAAAAGTGATTCCCAGTGTGCTGTCTAAAGTGTCTGTAGCTTTCGGTGCTTTGTTCCCAATGACTGATGTAACTGAGACGCGGTTACTTGGTGTAGATCAGTGTTTTTTTAACCCTGGTCCGCAAGGCACACTGCTCTGCATGTTTTGGATGTTTCTGAGGTTCAGCACACCTGATTCAGATGATTGCAGTTCAGCAAAGCCTGATAATCTGCTATCAATTGATAACAGGTGTGTGAAAGCTGGAAAACATCTAAAACAGGCATCCCCAAAGTCGGTCCTCGAGGACCGCTGTCCTGCAGGTTTTAGAGGTTTCTCTGCTTCAGTTCAGCAAAAACTGTTAATCAACTATCAATATCGTCATCGTCAATATCAACGCACACTTGTGCTTCCGTTGTGCACCATTACACACTGCTTCACAATGGTATTTACAATACAATCAGTGTGAATACATCACACCTTTATGTAATGTATTTATCTGTGGTACAAGTTACATTGTTTATTAGAGAGAGGAATATGAGGGTGTGGAAACATTTAAATATGGCATGCACCTTAATTTAGTATTGATCTCACAGTGGAAAAATATGCTCGTCACATAGTCTAAAAGAAGAAGGTGGCAAAAGGTGCATGGGGTATATACAGTATAAATAGGTTTATTGCACAGGGTATGAACTGGGTATTTATATGAATGGGTGTGTGTGTATGTATATATATATATATATATATATATATATATATATATAGTTATTGCAGTGGATATGAAATATAAAACAGGTTATTTCAGAAGGTATTGAATATTGATTGCACATTAAATATTGCACAAATTACTGCAGTTATAGTGTCGCATTGTAGAGTCTGAAGGCAACAATGATGAATGACCTGCGGCAGCGCTAATTTTTACAAACGGGGTGTAAAAGTCTTTCCCTAAAGGAGCTGCTCAGCTCCTCTACAGTCTGGTGCAGGGGGTGAGAGGTCAAGGAAACTTTTCCTATTTATGCAACAGGTGCCCTTGTATAGCTACAGCTCACCAGTAAAAGAATATAAATATATATACAGTATATGTGACACTTATTTCAGATTCTGCTTATTTCAGATCTGATGGTGTAATTTAAAGTTTTATATAAAGTGAAATTAAATGTCTGAAATCTATTCAGATTCAGTTAGGCTTTAATTTGGGACATGGCTTTTAACAGAGTTCAAGTTTGTTTTTTATAGATCACAACAACTGCATGAAAAGTTGCGTACACACATTTCATCCCTGTTTTTCGCATTCGCAAGCTTTACACGAGACCCTAAATGAGGTGGTTCTGGCATTTCATAACGATGCTTCACAGTTATCCGCCACATTTTAGGATTTCCTAAAATCCTGAAATGGGGTACAGTCATATTCAGAATCGTTAAAAATATTCGACAAAATGGTGAAATTGTCAGGATCACGCTGAAAACTACACTTTTTTTTATGACATTGCATATACTAGTGTTAGGTTTATAAATGCAATACTTCTGGTGAAATGCTGACTAGATATTTTCCGAATAGGTTGGGTTCAGACTTGTTACTGAAATAAATGCAATACAATTCTGCATGGGATCCAAACATGTATCATTCTTAGATGCACCAAAATTCATAGGAAGTAATTTTGTGATTTATAGCTACACTTGTACAGAACTGGATTCCTAAACAAATGAAAAGGGTTGAGAGATAAAAAGGTGTAGATGGAAAGTGTTTATTTATGATATTTCCATTATGTTGCAATTTTTCCAGCTCTTTTGAATTGTTACTGATAATCCCTTAATCAACATATACTAGTTTGTTTTTATTTTATGCAATAGCTTATAAGTATATAATTCTTGTGCTCATCATAAAAGCAAAAAGTTGGGGATGTTAACCCCCCATCCTGCCCATTTTTTTCTGAATACACTAAGGAAAGGCCACTAGTGTCCTAAATCTAATTAAAGAGAAGAGTATGGCAAGAGCTTTTAGTAAAATATACCACTTATAGAATATAACCTCCTAATTCAGTATTACTTACTGCTAATTTCTATTTTAAGTGTGCCCTCATGTTTTTATATGTATATTTAGTCACTTTATACATCCTCTTACTATTCAGTTCTTTTAATAGTTGGTGTACAAATTAGCTAGGGACGCTGGGCTACCTATTATGCGTCCCCTTTGAGTTGGTTGTTGTTGTTGTTTAAGGACAATTTTAATTTAAAGCTCATTAACTACAGGTTCCGTACAAGTTTGTTTAGCCAAAGTGGCACTGAAGTGACCCGTAATGCAGCTAGTTGGAGCCTTTTTATTCCCAAGTGAGCCATGATCATTATCGATGCAGTTCCTCCCTCTAATTGTGGCACATCTCTGTAGTGCATTTTGCTGTTTTTACTTAGCTGTGAGGGTGAGAGGGATATTGGGTCTGCAATGGGGAGATGATGTAAACCCTTACACTGATGATGTTGATATGAGAAAGGTTCTTCTCTGCTCCTTTCGGCCCAACGTTTGTTGTAGCCAAAAATCCTTCAAAAGTCTTCCTGGAATCGTTTTGCAATTTTTTGTTCTCTATCGCTATATTATATATATATATATATATATATATATATATATATATATATATATATATATATATATATATATATAATGTATACAAAACAGAATTTAGAGTTCTGAATTTAGACTGTTTGATGAATAAGTAGGTTATTTACATCCTTTTTTTTATTGTTGTTCTCTGCAGCTTTGCCGACAGATGAAGGCCCTCCTCTGCCATGTATGAAGATGCGTGTCACAGTGTGCTGCGAGACCAGTGAGTATACTCATCCTTTTATCTGTTACTCCTTTCATGCTTCACTCTTTGTACACCAACAGACTCCTCTTTCTGCCTCTCACGTCTTTACTATCAAGGCTTGGAGTATAGAATGATGTTCAGATTGCCACTCACTACAGCGCTTTTAGTTACTTTCTATCTTTAACTTTGTAGTAATCATTTATATACATATAAACTATAAACTTAACTCTCTGCAATGAATGACAAATATAGTGTGTGAATGTATACCAGCTTACAATTTTATTTCATTTTTTTATTTTTTATTTTTTTATTATTTTGACATTTTCCATTCCATCTTTACACCTTAAAGCCCTCTATCCATGAATGAAGCACCAATGTTTGTGAAAACCTGGTCAGCTGGCTGAAAAAAAAGGCTATTACTGCTTTCCTTTAATTACAACTAAGATAAATATGGAAACATTTATAACACAAACAGCAATGATGTGGAATCTAAAGTGTTACCTAAGATAGCCTGACTGACCAACAAGCTAATATAAGCTCTTTGGTCTAATTGTTATACATAAACATGTTATGTATGTCATTTATAATAATGTCTGCATGTTAAATTAGTATTTTTTTTAACTGGTTGATCTGGAAAAACAGTTATTAATTAATTCACTCCTGTTACTCTATGAAAAGCAGAATGACCGAGATAATTAACTTTTCTTTAGTAATACTTCTCTTTTTAAGTTATTCTACAGTAGTTTGTGTCAAAATGACAATTCCAATAAATTACCTTCATAGAAACTATAGAATGATATGCGTATTTTCAAAACAATGGAAAGCCCTGGTTTTTTTTTTCTTTTTTAGTTAGAACCAAATTATTATTAGTTCAAATGTTTTGTCTGAATAATATGAAACCATCATAGCAGTTTGTGCCTAGCTTGCTTTTAGAATTGATTAGATTAAGGGATTTTCTTTTTAGCATTACTTTCCTCTAAAGCACATCTTACCCCACCAGTCCTCCTTTTTTATGCCTACTTGTCATCCTCATTCACCCACTCCCCATCTTTCTTTCTCAGTGTGAAATTCCCAGAGTTGATCTAATCCAGAGCCCGCCTGGAGTAATGTTAGTCTTCCAGTCCAGTGAGCTGCCCATTCCGGTTGGGAATGTTGCACAGTCACTGTGGGAATCCCTGTCCGGTGCTTCGTGTGTGTGTGTTGACCATTTTTCTTTCTGTTGCTGTTGTTGTACTTTGTGCACGAATCCATGAGCCTTTGCGTGCAAGCTCTGGCAGTTGGACGTATACGGGTGTGTATGTAGCATCGCTTGCATGTCTGAGACGTCTGTCCCAGTTCCCATCCCAGTGTTATCTGCAGGGGGCTTGTTGTGCTGTCCCAGACTGAACTAACACACTTTTTTTATGTCTCTTTGGTGAAACTGTCTAGAAAGTTGTGTGACAAATACTTATTCAGTTTAAGCAAATATAAAAAAAAAATACAACTGCAAAAGTAGAAATTTCACTTTATCTCAAATATCGGTGAACCGATGCATCTTACCTAAAAGATGGGATGAAACGCTACCTTGGTTCAATCAGGACAAGATGACATTTTTGCAGTATTTCAGATGGCATAAGAGACCATTTTATGTTTCCAAATAGAACAGATATTTAAGTTTTCATTCTATAAAGAAGGCAGGTAAGAAATATGTACTATTCATTAATCTCTCATAATAATTGTCTTTTTAGTCACATAGTCTAAAAGAAGAAGGTGGCAAAAGGTGCATGGGGCATATACAGTATACAGGTGCTGGTCATAAAATTAGAATATCATGAAAAAGTAGATTGATTTCAGTAATTCCATTTAAAAAGTGAAACTTGTATATTATATTCATACATTACATACAAACTCATATATTTCAGATGTTTATTTTGTTTAATTTTGATGATTACAAATGACAACAAATGAAAATCTCAAATTCATCATATCAGAAAATTAGAATATTACTGAAGACCAATAAAAACAAAGGATTTATAGAAATGTTAGCCAACTGAAAAGTATGAACATGAAAAGTATGAGCATGTACAGCACTCAGTATTTAGTTGGGCCTCCTTTGGCCTGTATTAGTGCAGCAATGCGGCGTGGCATGGAGTCGATCAGTCTGTGGCACTGCTCAGGTGTTATGATAGCCCAGGTTGCTCTAATAGTGGCTTTTAGCTCTTCTGAATTGTTGGGTCTGGTGTATTGCATCTTCTTCTTCACAATACCCCATAGATTTTCTATGGGGTTAAGGTCAGGAGAGTTTGCTGGCCAATTAAGAACAGGGATACCATGGTCCTTCAACCAGGTACTGGTAGCTTTGGCACTGTGTGCAGGTGCCAAGTCCTGTTGGAAAATGAAATCTGCATCTCCAAAAAGTTGGTCAGCTGCAGGAAGCATGAAGTGCTCTAAAACTTCCTGGTATGTGGCTGCGTTGACCCTGGACCTCAGAAAACACAATGGACCAACACCAGCAGATGACATGGCACCCCAAACCATCACTGACTGTGGAAACTTTACACTGGACTTCAAGCAACGTGGATGAAGTGCCTCTCTTCTTTTCCTCCAGACTCTGGGACCTTGATTTCCAAAGGAAATGCAAAATTTACTTTCATCAGAGAACATGACTTTGGACCACTCACCAGCAGTCCAGTCCTGTTTCTCTTTAGCCCAGGCAAGACGCTTCTGACGCTGTCTGTGGTTCAAGAGTGGCTTGACACAAGGAATGCGACAGCAGAAACCCATGTCTTTCATACGTCTGTGTGTGGTGGTTCTTGAAGCACTCACTCCAGCTGCAGTCCACTCTTTGTGAATCTCCCCCACATTTTTTGAATGGGTTTTGTTTCACAATCCTCTCCAGGGTGCGGTTATCTCTCTTGCTTGTACACTTTTTTCGACCACTTCTTTTCCTTCCCTTCGCCTCTCTATTAATGTGCTTGGACACTGAGCTCTGTGAACAGCCAGCCTCTTTAGCGATGACCTTTTGTGTCTTGCCCTCCTTGTGCAAGGTGTCGATGGTCGTCTTTTGGACAACTGTCAAGTCAGCAGTCTTCCCCATGATTGTGTAGCCTATAGAACTAGACTGAAAGACCATTTAAAGGCTTTTGCAGGTGGTTTGAGTTAATTAGCTGATTAGAGTGTGGCACCAGGGGCCATCAATTTTGAACCTTTTCACAATATTCTAATTTTCTGATATGATGAATTTGAGATTTTCATTTGTTGTCATTTGTAATCATCAAAATTAAACAAAATAAACATCTGAAATATATGAGTTTGTATGTAATGTATGAATATAATATACAAGTTTCACTTTTTAAATGGAATTACTGAAATCAATCTACTTTTTCATGATATTCTAATTTTATGACCAGCACCTGTATATACAGCATTTTTCCAAAAATGGAACTGAAAGGCTTTTTCTTTCTTTTTTTTTTTTTGTTATGTAAAGGGTTAACAGGCATTGTGAATACTTCAGTTGGGATGACCGATGCTAACTTGAACTGTTATTAGTAAAAGTTAAGTAAGTTCTTTCCCTTGATGAAAGGATGTTATATCAAGCTTACAAGACAATTAAAAAAAAAAAGCTTTAGCTATGATTTTACTTTCAGAATAGTTATATCTAAACTGAGTGGTATATCCAGCTAATGAGAACCACACATATAGTTTTGGATAGACAATTAAAGGTTTTTTCAAATCGCAAACTGTTTTATAGAGTTTAATCGGCGTATAATACTCTTGGCTAGATTTGACTAATCCAAGTTGCTTTGTACCAATTTGTACTTTTCTAATTCTCAAATTATCGTTATGCCAAAAAAGCTTAGGAAATGGAAAATTCTTGCTTTAGAAAATTTTCTGGCATTTCTAATCAGCTTAGAATGATCAAACACACGTTTTATCATCCTAAATCAGTTGTTTAAATGATGGGCAGACATTTGAAGTACTTTCAATGTTTGCTGCGTTTTATTGTTGCCAGATTTCTGCAAGATAAATCATTTCATTTTGGAGTGGTCCTTATTAATTTTTAACCAGGTGTCATTAACCAGAAGCCAACTTTTGCATCATTAGCAACTGTTAACATACAAACACATTGTAAGAATTCGCAGAGTTGCTATGTCACATGGTCACATTTTCTTTTTTAATCCAAAAGTCTACCAGATAAACAATGTCAGTGTGGTAAAGGCCTCTGAATTTCTTTCAGCAAAGAATTCTCAGCCTGTAAGACTGCATCTTTATTACCTATCAGCGCAAATGTTCAAGAGCTGCTTTCATTCTAGGTCAAATCCAGTTTTTAAATTAGGTGCGAAAGTTTAAAAAAAATTTACATTAAAGGCCATAATTTTTTTATAATTTAAAAGCTTTACCATAATCATTTAGTTTAAAGAGAAAGTAAACCTCTAAACCAGATGGTCAACATAGCAGTGTTAAAGTAAGGAGAGTTAGTGCTATATATAAAAACAAATGATCAGAAATCACATTGTACAAAGCACATTGTGTCAGCAACACAGGTAATTGCATAATCAATCAAAATGAACAATTAAAGAGAATAAAAATGAATAATTCAAATGATTTTGAAAAATGAACAATAAAACCACTGATAAAAAAATGACAGAAAGCTGTTTTACAAGCTTAAACTAATAATGTTCAGATGGGACAGTCAAAAGCCACTCTGAGGTAATATGATATTAAGAGGTTTCATAGTTTTCTAAGTTTTTTTTTTTTTTTTTTTCGAAATTAGTGGAACATAAGGATTAAAAGCTGCTTTTTCATGTTGGTTCTGGGTTTGCTGAGTAAATCTGAGTAAAAGCATCTGACAGGTCTGGTGATTGATATACTGACAAGAATGTAATGTATTTTGGTGCTAAGTCATTTTGTGATTTACAGACTAACACAAGTATTTTTAAGCCTATCATCTGACATATGGTATAACATTGTTAGATCTGGGGTGGTGTGCTCCAGTTTCCTAGCTCTAGTGAAGACACAGGCAGCAGCATTCTGGCTCA